CCCCAAAACCCCAAAACCCCAAAACCCCAAAGAAAAATATTAATTTGGAAAGATATAATATTATAATTAATTGCATTAATGGAAATCTAATAGAAAGCAGAAACACTGGACTCTTAAGTTAAAGATAATAGAAATACGCATATAATTTAGAAAATTGAGAATAAATATAAAGTGTTTGATGATTTTGATGCTGTAATGAGCTAAAATATATAATAGCCATAAGCAAATGAATTCAACAATATTCAAATAAAACTTAAAAAGAATAAGCCTTATGCATAATGGATATACAGTCTATAGTTAAAATCTTCTCTTAGTAATGATACCTAGCTTTTAAATAGCACTCTTAACGATGCTGATTTGATACAGAGTAAATTATTATATGTTTAAATTTATTTTAACTAGAGATTACAGATAGAATAGCAACAGTTAGAGTTAAATCTCTTGTTAAATAAGGTCGCACACTTGAGGAAATGAAAATATAGCTTGATAAGGTAGGTAAAAATATTGCAAGATTGGAAAAAATGCTAGGTCCACAAGACCAGCTCCAAGATGGATTGAAACAACAGTAGTTGAAGTATCAGTCACTTAAGAAGCCTCATAAATATTTCAGGCAAATATTCTCTGCTTGCAACTAGTCTTAATACAGACTTGATCAATTAGACCTTAGATACTAACCAATTGATCATATTTATGTGAAAATGTCACAATTTATTAAGGATTTGATTGATATCTAAGAGTAGTCAAAGATTGATGAAAAGATTCCAAAACCAAATTAGCTTTACATCATCATATGCGATTATAAGCAAAAAATAAAAGATTAACAGATTGTTAAAGATCAACAAAATGATGATATCTAAATCGATAAACAAATCAGCAAAGAAACTTAAGTATAGCAATAAGTTGCCTTTACTGATGTTGATTTGATATATAAATTGCTCAAGAGTAAGTTCAACTTTATATTTTTGCTTCCTGAATAACCACATGATGATGATTATGTAATTTTTATAGTTGATTTATTTTCTAAGTGATAGTTAATTTGAGAATCTACTGTAGATTAATAGCTTCTGGGGTTTTGGGGTTTTGGGGTTTTGGGG